TTTTCCTATGATTATGGACCAATGATCACAACTTCAACTGCATCTTTTTGAAATAGAAAAAAAAAAAAAAAAAAAAAAAAAAAAAAAAAAAAGAAGAAAAAAGTTATATATTTTAATTTATTTGACGTTCCGTTCATTTTATCATTATTGGGGATAGATAATTTTATATATATATATAAACAAATTTTAGAAAAACAAAAGAATAAAAATATAACGGTGCGTTGGTTAGAAAGAGATATGTTTCAGTGATCATATTCAACTAAAGTAATATTAATTTTTTTGCTTTCAAATAGTTTTTAACAATACGTTATTACGTATAATAGTTCTTCACAGCTGAGCTACCTCTTAATTATTAGATTTCAATGTTTCAATGTTTAAATGTGCATGCAAAAATTTGTCCGATGATAATGATAAATTTTGCAAGACTAATCGATAGCCATTTGCATTATTGGAATACTCGATTCATTGAAAGATAATGTTTTATTCCTTTTTCAATTTTATATTCCGATTGATCTTTTAATATGAATTGTGTTTAATGTATCTAGGGTGATTCACTTGGGATCCACCTGTTGCCGATGGTCTTCAAGTCGTCACTCTCTATCTTATGGATAACCTCGTGCTCAAAAGAAATACCTGACGTCTTTACAACATTTTACTCATTCTTGAATTGGATTAAAAGCGAATTGTGCAAAGAAATTTGAACAGAAATCAGAATCTCTGTATTTTATCTACATTTTGTGATCAACAATAATGTTTCACATTATCGCGTCTTCCATATTGTCCCTCTTTTATATTTAAAATTTCTTCGTTCATTTAAATATTTTACGGATCAGTAATGAATGATTAGTTATTAAAGAAAATTTTATAAAATATTTAATAATAAGAATAAATCGCGTTTAATAAATTTATATAATATGTTTTATTAGTTGGTCAAGCTAGTAATATTTAACGTTGAGCGATTACAATTACGACTTACTAAATGTTGAGTAATTATAATCGGAAGAAAGAGTTACTGACGAAATAATCATAATAAGAATAAAATAAAATTTTGAAATTTGAAAGCAATAGAAAATAAATAAAAGAAAAAACATAATCTTTTACTCTATTCGTTTTGTTTAAATTTTTATAATTCCAAAAATTGTATTCCGATATATTTAATAAGGCATACTACGTGAAATAATTCAACTAATAGCATTTAATACATACTTCAATATAATCTAGTTAAAATCATTTAAAACCCGCATAATTGATAAATAATGCACAAAAGCACAGTGACAATACGTGACGTTGAATAACCGCTAAATACTGAAAAACAAAGCTTAATAATAGAAAAGTTATAATTCATGCATTTTTATCAGCATATTATAAGCAGAAGAATTGAGTTGAGTATGAAATTAAAAAGATGGTGCAAAATGCAGAATTTATCGGCAAATTAGGAGAGATAAAAAAAGCATGAAAATATGCGAATTATAATTTGCTACTACTGGTAAAATTATTTTGGTTTACCGGTCTACTAAATCCTTTACACGTGTTAAGAGCAAAGAAAAAAAAATATTGAAATATTGCGGAAGCCTTATAAGATACAAAAAAGCAAGGCTCACAATCCTGAACGCATGCATTTCAATAATCCAATTGCAATAAGCAAAAAAACAACAACAACAAAAAACAAACAAAATACAAAAACAATAACAGAAAGAAAAAATGTAAAAAAAAATATTGCGAATGAAATGTACGTAAAATACGGGTGAAAAATAATTTATTTACAAAATGCGCTAGATAAGCTGATAAGATTTCAGCCATTCAACTTTTGTCATCATTCTGTGCGTTCATATCCGCGAATTTATTCTGCCAATAGTAAATTGTCTAATAATTCTTCTAACAGTTTAATCTGATAATTTAATAATATTAGATTTTTTTTTTAGTTTAGTTACTATTTCATTTTTTATGAACGTATCGTTTAGCCGCTTAGAAAAATAAATTTTGTTATCGAATTTATTTACTTTTGATACGATTGAAAATGAGGAAATAAACAAAAAATTAAACTCATTGTTATTGTATTTCTACTACATTATTGATTTTACTTAGGCTTCTATGTCTTATAATTATACTAAACTTTATAATATCGAATTTTTTCTACGACTTATCTTAACGCGTTTTTATGTTGTTTACGTCTATTATAGATGGTTTAAAGTACTTTTTTAAATCTGTTATTTGCGTCTCATCTGAGAATACAGATTCAATTGTTTATGTGCTTTTATTAATTTAAGCTGTTTCTGTATTTTTTTGATAAGGAATTTACTTTTATTTAACCTCAATGCTTTAACAATGCCTATTTATTTTATTTTTAATTACCTACTGAAATTTATGATAAAATATCATAAACGATAGTATTTTTTTCCATTGTTGGAAAAGTTGTTTGATGATATCAATTTCTTTTTATTCTACGTTTTGTTATATTAGGCAATTTGTAATTTTTTTGCTAATACTTTAATAATTTTTT